CTGTAAAGGAGCTAAACCTTTTGGGCCCATTTTTTATTTACAAAACCTGCTCACACCCAACATATCAATCATCTATCTGCAAATGGTTATTGATTCAGGCAAAAAAAATCTTGAAAAGACTTTTAGCAGACTCAACTCTATTGTCATGCATAATCTTAAGGCAAATTACAACACAATTAGCAAGAAAAATCTTTACAAACATCAGCCAACGCTTTTACGTGAAAGAACAGCCAATTGGCACCATAAAAACATGTGATCATTGTGTAGGATGGAAATGAGGTGTTCCCTCCTTCTAATGAGGTGTTTCAGGTACATGAGGTGTATTACTTTCATTGTGTAGGATGGAAATGAGGTGTTCCAGGAACATGAGGTGTATTACTTTCATTGTGTAGGATGGATATATTACTTTCATTGTGTAGGATGGATATATTACTTTCATTGTGTAGGATGGATATATTACTTTCATTGTGTAGGATGGATATATTACTTTCATTGTGTAGGATGGAAATGAGGTGTTCCAGAAACATGAGGTGTATTACTTTCATTGTGTAGGATGGAAATGAGGTTCATTGTGTAGGATGGATATATTACTTTCATTGTGTAGGATGGATATATTACTTTCATTGTGTAGGATGGAAATGAGGTGTTCCAGAAACATGAAAACTGCTATACCACTTGTTACAGAAATTTGAATATTTACATACATACCACTTGATTCTTTACATATTTGCTGAAACTTCAAAGGCATGTAGAAGCATTCGTTTGTTGTTCATACATTCCCCATATCAGAAAAAATGTCTCAGATTTTTTAAAAATTTGAAACATCTTCGATATGGAGAAATGTCACTGTAAATCTCATTTGAATGCCAAGATATGTGACTAGTGTCAATTAATAATGAAGTGGCTAGCAGTAAGAGGCAAGCAAGATCCATATAACAGAGTTATTGGCTGAAAACATAGTTATTGGCTGAAATCAATTCACTTGCTGAATTTAATGCCATTAACTGAAACCATTTGGAATAATTCTAATGAGCATTGTGTCTCAGATTTTGAGGAGAACATATGGATGATATTATATGGTCATACACTTGTTACAGAAATTTG